GCAGGTTGCCCGAGATAGCTTCCCAGGCGTTTCTCAGCCCATTAGGCCCCATCATACGACAGGATCTCTTGATCACAGCCACAAAGCGAGCGCTCGACCGGCCAGGCTTTCAGCGCTGGCCACCGGCCGCCTCAACAGGGCGAAATTGCTGCCATTATGGCGTCGTCCAAGGCCTCCTTTGGGATGAAAGCCGGCTCCTCATCGTCACCATGACGAATAATTCCGAAATTTTTTAATGAAACACCTGCTACATTTCCGAGTCAATGGACTCTTCTTGGTTCGCTCGTGCCTTTGTGTTGCGTTGAGTGACGAATTAGGTTCCATTGTGTTTGAACATGTTTCAAAATTTTGTCATGTACAATTGTGTCACATAATTGTGAAGTATCAACAAATAAAATAAAAGTAATTGTTAGATTGCTTTGTATTTGGAATCCAAAAATGGGAAAAATGTATTTAATTTCTAATATATATTTTAATTGCAAAGGTTACAATCGAATTGGTCAAGTGTCTTTTGGAAATTGTCAAAACGTTTTCATAATTTTCAACTGACTTTGTAGTCTTTGTACTAGTTGAAAGATGAATTAAGTTTGTTTGTTGTTAATGTTTCAAAATTTTGTCATCTGCAAAAAAATTTTTAAAAGAAATATTGGTTAGAATGTTTTTTTAAAGGGAAGAAGAAAAACCATGGCATAAATTATATAATAAACGAATAATTTCACAAATAGTTTTGATTAAAATGTATTGCTATTTTAAACATCATGCAGGACATCAAGAATTTTACATAATTGTGCTCCTGTTTCCAATACTAATTTTTTCTTCACAATGTGCTATCTTTCCATTTTCGATTTTGATATTACTGTGAAAACGTTAAATTTATGTATTTTTACACAATGTAAGCAATTTGCACAGATATATCTATGTAAATGCAAATGTGTTTAGGAAATATAAAAAATCTATAATTACATATTGAGAATAAATCTATTGCAATACAAATATAAGATACAAACTTTCTAATTTTGTTCTATTATTAGACATAATAATAAATAAAATACACGCCCAAATTCTTCCAAATAATTACCCTTATATTAACGAAATATCTCTCAGAAACAAATACTACTATTTCTTTAGAACAAATATTCCAATCTTGGTTTTTTTCGTGTACAATTTCAACAAAGAATTGGATTTAGTTGAGCAGACGTCAGCGGGTAATAACACCTATAATTTTTCTTATATGGGAAGAAAAAATAAATTTATATAAATGACACTGTGAAAGGTATTATCGATCAAATACTACTCACGATATCAAAATAATACTAACGCCTGAATCTGTTGGTGGTGGTTGCAAATTTTAGCAAAACCTCATTTTCTACAAAAGTGTATATAGGATGTTGTTCTTAGAGAGTTTTATTTCAAACATATTTGAATTAATTTCTCTCTGAAGGAACCTCTCTCAGAGCTGTGTTATGTTGTGTAGTACCGTTAAACTAACATTTTAAAGTTGTTACTACTATAAAATAATATATAAATATATAACAAAATTAATATTATTAATATTAAATAAGATAGTTGTATACGTTCTTCACCACCCCGTCACAATTCGTGGACGCAGTTACGCTCAGAAATATGATCCTTAACAGTAAATAAATCTAAGTTGTGGCCATCTTACTGAATAACAAATGTATTTTAATAATTAAATTGGTTCAAAGAATTGGGCACCCCGACCAAGATTCAAACCCTTGTCTCCTGGTTTGGCATTACTTACTAAACCAGAATATCCAGCTTCAAATCCCGGTCGGGGTGATTCTTTGATCAAATTTAATTATTAACATAGTTGTATGCGTTAGCAGGCTTCCGCGGCCGGAGTCAATACATTCTTGGCTATCCGGGATGGGCCGCGTCTCGGTCAATTGTGCTGACGTTTTGGCCATCTTGCTGTGGCCGAGCTCTGAAGAAGGCCACAGCAAGATGGCCGAAACGTCAGCGCCATTGACCGAGACGCGGCTCTTCACGGGTAGCCAAGAATGTATTAATATAGTTGTTTTCCTGTGCAGAATTGCTGCCACTAAGTAATGTAAGCGAGTTCCCAATCGCAGTAGGATAAAGGTAAACTTTAAAAAAATGAATTGTTGGTTGTTGTCGTCGCAGGCAGAGCGAGCCCGGCTGGGAGGTGGACCACTTCCCAGACGAACCCGCCCCATGTCCACGTCTCCGGGCCGTAGGTGGTGTCCGACCGGGCTACATCACGCCGCTCCAACCGCTCACGCCGAGGGTGTGAGTGGGCCCCGCCGCCGCTTCAAGGGCGAGGCCGTGGGCACACGCCACGCCATGGCAGGGCGGACCAACCCGTGGCCCGCGGGCGCCACGTGACCTAAGCCGTTTCGTAAATGCGATGTTGGCGCACCAAGCAGGTTGCGATGCATTCATATGCATTCATACGCAATTGAGCGATGGCGTTAGCAGGTTTTCTTTTTTTTTTTTTGGTCCTACTAGAGAAAGAGAAGAAATAAATGTCATCCCCGTCAACTTAATATGTTTATTTAGGTCTCTTAATTTGTTTATTTGGGTCTCTAAATAAACAAATTAAGTTGATGGAGATGGCATCTTTTATTCCTTCATGTAATTACGTAAAGAATACCACATCAGAATTTCCACAACCAGAGGAAAGGAAGTTTGGATTTTACTTGTAACTATGCCGCCCGTTAACGACATAAAAATAAAATGAGTTCTCGCAAATGGTGGTGTTTGAGAACTGTTGAAATCAAATCAGTTTTTTATTCGAATGAGTTTCATATATCAAACTATGATTTGTTTGACAAAATATAATCAAACTATTTTTTGTTTGCGTGATTTTGTCCTGTGAGAAAGTGGTATTACGAAAAGCATGGAACAACACATTGCCGATAACACAAATAGCAGGGCCAGTTGGTCATTTGTGTTAACAGACTAATGATGTTCATAAATGTGAGACAATTTGAACAACTCAAAATAAATGTATACAATAAATGATGTTATTAGCATATTCCTTGCTAATACTCATATAAACAACGCTTTATTTATTAAATGTTTCACAAAGAAAATTGCAATAATGATTTAAAAGAAATGTATTCAACAACCACATGAAACTAAATCGTTCTACATAAGTTTGGCATGAACAAAACTTTCTGACGCACAAGAAAAATGTGTCATCTCAATAATTGTTATTTTGAAATGTAGCTTTTAACTGAAAACTTTTAATTTGCAGAGAGACAAAGTGTTTTACTCTAAATACTGTCTGTTTTGCAAACTTTTTATAAAATTTACACTACAGAAAATATACTATTTACTAAACATTCTTCTTTGCTTATCTAAAACAATTATTGTAAATGTTTTTTAAATGTGTCACTTATTATGCACCCACGAAATGCATAGCTTAACGTCTCCTTTTTAAAGAGGATAACAGGAGAAGGCAGTTCTTTTTTTCGTAACCCGGGATAGAGCTCTCGGATAACGATAGTCTGAGTACCCCTGCTAATCGCTCTCTGGTCTGACTCATTGTGTCGGTGTCGGTCAAAGGGGAACACACTCATTACAGTCGCTTGAAGCGGCAGGGCCGTTGCGCGGGATGAATGGAACAAATTATCCGAATTATGGTGGGCTTTCTACGTCTGTTTTCAGTCGACTGAACCTACAAGTAGTCACGAAATGCGTGCAGTTAATAGTGGAGCTTGACGCATTTTTGGTGAAAAGAGATGTTTTTGTCAAAGACAATCTTGTTTATTCTACAGAATGGGGTTATTGCAAAGTATTGATCATCGAGTAATTGGAATTAGCTGAGATCGCAGACGAATCTTCGGAAACTATTTAGTAAGAATGTATAATTTAACTTACAAAAATAAAAATTAAACTAGTTCAAAAAAAGTTGCCATTCATTTTTAACGAGGCGATTCCTTATGGAAGGTAAGACACAGTTACGTGATTTTTCTGAGTAAGTGAAACCTCATTTGTAGTTGACTTGGTCGCTTCATTTTGAGATTACAACCGCTGGACTTTCATTTTTTGATTAAAGTAGGGTACACAGTACACCCTCGGAGAAGTGTGGCGTTGGAGGGTGGGGGTCTTCTTAAGCCATCTCTCAAATTACGCAATGCGCTCTGATAGAAATGAATAAAATTTAAGAATAGGCGATTTTCATGGCTTGCCCTTCATACGCTTTGCCCCCGCCGCATTCTAATGCCAATTTACTTTCAACGGCAAGTTTTCTCGCTTCACTCGCCCGGATCCAAGTCACGGCGAGGCTCGGGCCTTTGGCCCTCGCGTTCACTATAAACATCCTTGAGCCTATCCAACGCATTATTACCAATTCACTGTTATAAGAAAGCACTTTTCACGAAAGCCTCCAGAATTCAAACCGCGCAGTTACCGCCGGAGCAGTGCCGGTTAAATCTTCCGTAAGTTGTATCGTATAATGGACTTCATCCCATTTTTCTTAGCGAAACAAGAAAATTGTATCTTTATATCTGCTCATTTGGAAGTCGGTTTTACTCTTTTCTGCAGAATTCTGCAGATAAGAAAACAAACGTTAGGCTATTGTATTCATCCATTACAATATATCCTAATGCAATCCTTAGAATGTTTCCTTGCAAGTTAAATTATGAATAAATGTAGCAATGATAGTTGCGCCAAAAAAATCATTAAGGCAATAGAGTCATAGCAATCTCGGACTGAAGGATCGCGGGTTCGAGTCCCGCCTCGTCCTTGACCCCACACCATATCACATCATACTGTTTACCATATCGTTAATCTATAGTGGTCGCTAATGACCTAGCTGTTGATCCGACCTTAAATTTTTTTTAAAAGTGGCGCTAGTTCATGTATCTTCTTGGGTCACATTTATTACTGCCACCAATTAATTACTACCATTTTAAATGATTCTTGACTCTAAGATATCACTATTGTTGATGATGAGGACGATGACTTTTTTCTGCTTGCCTGATGCGTGCGTGCTTGCGTGCGTGCGCAGGGGGCCCGCAGATCCGCGTGTTCGGGCGCGCGCACTTCCTGGGGCGGCTGCAGGCGGCCGCCGACGCCGCGCCCGCCGCGCTCGCCTTCCTGCAGGACTACTTGGGCGTGCCCTTCCCGCTGCCCGGCCTCGACCTCGTCGTGCTGCCGCACTACGCCGCGCGCCACCCCGCCGACATGTGGGGCGTCGTCATCTTCAGGTGAAGCACGCCTTTCTTTCCGACATCCTACATTCATTCTACCCTGCAGACATGTGGGGCGTCGTCATCTTCAGGTGAAGCTCGCCCGCCTTTCTGGCGTGATGCACACGCGCTACCTTACACACAGATGGGGCGACGTCATGTTCAGGTGAAGCACATCCTTCTTTCCGACATCCTTCAGTCATTCTACCCTGCAGACATGTGGGGCGTCGTTATCTTCAGGTGAAGCACGCCCTTCTTTACGACATCCTACGTTCATTATACCCTGCAGACATGTAGAGCGACGTCATCTTCAGGTGAAGCACGCCCTTCTTTCCGACATCCTTCATTCATTCTACCCTGCAGACATTTGGGGCGACGTCATTTTCGGATGAAGTTTAACCACCTTTCTGTCATGATACACTCTCCGTACCCTGCAGACCGTAGGGGCGTCGTCATCTTCAGGTGAAGCACGCTCGCCTTTCTGGCATGATCCACACGCGCTACCTCACACACATGTGGGGCGAAGTCACCTTCAGATGAAGTTTAACCACCCTTCTGGCATAACACACACGCGCCACCCCGCCGACATGTGGGGCGTCATCTTCAGGTGAAGCTCGCCCGCCTTTCTGGCATGATACACACGCGATACCTTACATACAGGTGGAGCGATGTCATCTTCAAATGAAATTTAACCACCTTTCTGGCATGATACACTCTCGCTACTTTGCAGATAGGTGGGGCGTCGTCGTCTTTAGGTGAAGCACACCTGACTTACTCTCACCCTACATTCATTCTAATCTGCTGACGTATGGAGCGTCGTCATCTCCAGGTGAACCACACCCGTATTTCTAACATCCTACACTCATTCTACCCTTTAGACTTATCGGGCGGCATCATCTGCAGGTGAAGCACATCCGACTTTCTAACAGTATATATTCCCGCTATAGGGAGACGTAATCTTCGGGTGAAACACAACCATCTTTCTGACACATGACCCTCATGCCACCCTGCAAATATGTGGGGTGACGTGATCTTACACAACCTACTTTCTGATACGCTACACTTGCGCTACGCCTTTGGCCCCTTTTGTTCAGACTTTTGTCATAGGAAGTTATCAGTTTCACTGTTACGTATCTACGAACTTCCGTCCCACAACAGTTTACGCTCCCGTAAACGCGCCGCGATCGTATTTCCAATAATTTCAGTTGCCGCTGCTTTTCACTTACCCCACGTCGCTGACCATTCTCCTCACTCTTGAGGATTGTCAAATAAAACAATAACGTACCAATAAAAAAATAATTGTTCGAAAATTTCGCATGGCAAAGCAATTGGCAAACTGCTACCTGCTCCGCGTTCGCAAATATCTCCGTATTCCTGAACCACCGTTTAATTATATCTAATACATGCCCGAGGTTTCTCTAATATTCTAATCACTTGTACACCACTACTAACTGGTTATATAAACAAATATGTTACTTTAAATATTACAACTTAACCGTCTTGCGTCCATATATTTCCAACTCTAGCTGAAAACAAACTTGCCTCCATAGCAATCCATTTCATCACTCAATTGTTCGTTCCCTTACGTGTTGCTACACTCGTACCAACCCGTAAGGGAACACTATACAAATCACGTGTGTGAGGTTAGCCTCTTTCTGACGGTACGCCCCGACGCGACAGGGAGGAGGACCTGGTGGGCGAGTCGATGCAGGTGCAGCTGACGACGGAGCTGGCCTACCAGTGGCTGGGCCACCTGGTGACGCCAGCGCCGCGCTGGGCCGAGCTGCACCTCAACAAGGCTCTCGTCAACCTGCTGATGGTGGCGCGCCTACAGGGCGTCTCGCCCATCTTCTCGGTGAGCACCCCCCCCCACTCTCCACCACCCTCGGACCATCGCGCTCTCAGGGATGCGCTTATCACGATGGATCCGTACTCTGCGCAAGTCGCTTTCGGGTGAAGACGGTCGTTTACAACTATTTACGACTGAATACACGTTGGCGGGTTCAAACCCGATCGAAGCCAGAGATTTTTAAGTGCGAGAAAATCCTTCGTATGCCTTCCTTCGGAGGGGAAGTAAAGCCGGCTGTCCCATGTTCGTAGATTTACTTGCATGTAAAAGATCCTCAAGCCTTAATGACGCCTCTGAGCTAAATTCAAATCGCCTGTTTCTCGACCAAGAAATATCTCCTTTCTCTCCTAGTTGGTGAAAGGAGCGTAGCGAAATTTGCGTGGTCAGACGGAAGAGCGGGCCTGATGGTCCGAGTCTCGCCACGTAAAATAAGGCCAATCAATTCAATTCAATACTTTAAACACTCACTAGAGCGCAGGCACGACCGCACTTCGTCCACCTCGAGGAGATTGAACAATAGAAATCTATAGAGTGGCGATGTGTATACCATATTTAAAGCTTCTTGACAGGAGAGTCACCATGTTTTCTGCGGGCAACATAAAAATGTTCACGTAATGCTAAATCTAGTCGAAGTGCTTTTAGGAGAGATTTAATATTTAAAAGATGTTGAGTTTAGTCTAGATTAATTTAAAGAATCAAGAGTGTTTACTTGTTAATTTTTAGATTGATAATAGATTTTAAAAACAATTTTCAGTCGTGCAGTTCAGAATATTAAGTTATTAAAATTTTAAATTGAATTGATATCTCTATGGAAATGTCATTTACAATAGTTTGAAAATCGCTGTATCAAAAACTTAGATAAAAACAAATATTTTAACAAATTTTCATAACTGTTTTAATACACTTTAATGTAATATTATACATATTTACCAGTGCTTACAGAATGTCAATAAAAGGTCTGGACTAAATTTATTTCAAATTTACTAATAGTCAAATATATTATTAATTATTTAAATATTAATATACACATTACTTACACAAACTTAAAGTAAAATATCTCTCTTACTTCCAATACTTTTGTGGTGCCTAATACTGTTGTCGCTTCTAATGGTGCAAATTATATGCCGCACAAGAAGAGACGTTTTCACTAACGCTAACGCTAACCAGGAAGCACTTGGACAGGATCATGGATCCTCTCTGATCCATACCCTAATTCATTATTATTTCTGTAGCATAGGTCCTATATTACTCGCGTTTTAATGGTTTCTTTAATATTACTACTAAGCGAAGATCTCCATCCAAACTTACTTTGACTGCCTGACTATAAAAATGCCATTTAAGTTTGTGATAAGAGTTCAAAGCTTTAGGGAGTATTTTCGGTTTATGTTATCAAGGCGTAATGAATATTTTCAAAATGTCTTTCAAATAATATATATTTTGCTTATTCCGCTCAAATATAATTCATTTCAGCCGGGAAACCTAGCTACTCGTGACCACAGTTTGTACTATGAGTACTCCAAGAAACATCCGTACGCTGTTGTGAAGTCCCAAAAGGAAACAATTCGTCTAATGAAATGTAAGTTGTATACTTCTTTGCTTTCTACTTTGCCTCAGTAAATATTTTTTTAATGTAATGCTAACAATACTTCCTTTTCCCATTATGAAGTCCAGCAGTTTAAAAATATTTAAAATAAATAAATAAATATAATTTAGAAAAGTACGTAACTGTGAACCATTATTTACATTATTAAAAAATAGTTAAGTTGTGAGTAGGAAAGAACATGTGTACAGTATTTGTTCAAATGAAACGACATTGTATATCAAATTTTTCATTTAAATAAAAAAAATTAACAAAATATTGTTTTTATATCGTGCTTCTAATGAAATTAGTTCCAATTAAAATTTGTATATTTAGAAGCCATTATATGATACGTTGTAATGTATACTACAATTTCTCAAATTATCCAGTTTATATGATCAGAAAAGGTCACTTCTACCTGGAAAGTTAAAACTGTTGTAAGCATGTCAACACTAATACCTACAGCCAATTACCTCCCAAATCACTGTTGGTAATAAACCCGTATCATTGCAGCCCAGTGGGTGCTTCGCATGATAAACAACACGATCACTGAGAAAACTTTCAAGAGTGGCCTGCAGCACTTCGTGCAAGAGAGGTACTTACAGTAATAAATCATTTTTGACCAGTTATGTAAATTCAAAACTCACTTTTCACAAAATCTTGCAGCTTAAATTAAGAAAATGCTCTATCCCAGATCTATGATTACTTTTGTATAAATATGTTCAGTACGAATTGTTAGCTTTTAACTGATACATTCGATAATAAACTAAAATCCATATATATTTTTTACACGAAAATGACACGTAGAAAGCTAATTTAAATTTTTTAATGGATCTCTAATCATTGTTCATAACTTATACCTACTGTAATATAACGTTAATGTGATACATAGGGTACACAAAAATTTTCTGATTTCCCCATTGTTGGTTTTCAAGAATATATCTTTCAATGTACTTCTATATTTGCTTGACTGCATAACTCGGAAAGCAACAAATAATTTTAAAACAGAAAGTTATAATTTTTGTAAATTAATTTTAATTTTAAATCGTTTCCGTAAATGTGGCTTTTGTATTTGTAATTTATAAAATGACAGTGTCTTCAATGCTGTAATTTGTAAACTGAGCATAATTTTTTAGACCCAACACGTTTTTAAATTCACTTTCTTTAGACATGCCAATTCACAACAGTGTTTGATTAGTTTTTTCGGTAACTAAATAACTGTACATGTATACTCAAAGGACTTCATCATAAATTTTCATTTTCTTCATTGAAATAAAAAGTACGAACTTAATTTAATAGCGACTTCCTTAATTCCCCTAATGGATCACCTTAATTCAAGTCCTGACGGACACCCAGGAAAGGGCGACATTCAAATATTTTCAATATTTGTGAATAATAATAGCTAGTTTGAAGCTTGCGAACATTCCATTATTTGTAAATCATTTGGTGTAAAACTTAAAATAGATGTACAATGGAACCCTACTTCAAACGTCTGACAACTCGTGCTGCGAGAGTACCTTCCAAAAAAGTTCAACAAGTCTCACTTTGTAGAATGCAGCATAAGAACACCTCGCATTATTTCTGAGGTTTGCACGATAGTACCGTATGTTGCTGCAGAGCGTGTGATGCGGGTTGCATATGGGTCCCTATACAAATCTGCTACTTCTATTTTTTCGCCTTAAATCTAATTGATGCGAAAGAGGGTATGTCCCTATTCTGTTATATAACACGATATTTTGTGTCGATGTTTACTTGTTTAAAAACAAAAAAGCCGTCATCATTAATGTGGCGGCGGTGGTGTAACGGTTAGCGTACCGGACTGTTGTATCCAAGTTCGAAGCCGTGGATTTTTAGGGCGACAAAATCCTTCGTACGCCTTCCTTCGGAGGGGAAGTAAAGCCGGATGTCCCATGTTTGTAGATTTACTTGCACGTAAAAGATCCTCAAGCCTAAATGACGCCTCTGAGCTAAATTCAAATTGCCTGTTTCTCGCCCAAGAAATACCTCCTTTCTCTGCTAGTTGATGAAAGGAGCGTAGCGAAATTTGCGTGGTCAGACCGAAGAGCGGGCCTGATGGCCCGAGTCTCGCCACATAAAATAAGGCAAATTCAATTCAATCATTCCTTGACTTATGTAGAAGGAATAACGTTTCTTTGCATGTGCGTGGCAGGCAGTATAACGTGTTCGAGGAGGCGGACATGTTCAGCACCATCACGCACCAGGGCTGGGCGGACGGCACGGTGCCCCGCGACGTCCAGCTGTTGGACGTGGTGAACTCTTGGGTGCAGCGTGATCGCTACCCGGCCATCACCGTCACCCGCAACTACAACGACGCCACAGCAGAGGTTGAGCAGGTAGGCCTGATCTTGATATCGTGATTGCAGGGTAGGGTTCCGCACGAAACGTTTTCGCACGAACATCGCGACAGCTGGCATAAAATCCGCTAGAAGGCAGCTAGGAAGGTGTAGATAGAAAATAGAATACTCTCACAGCATTGATGAAATGAAATTTATGAGCGAGATAAAATGTATTTATTTTAAGTAAGGGATGTGTTAAAGTTAATGATAAATATATTAGAAAGCTATGATAATTTATTCAAAAATTTAGATAAATTAAATTTTCTGACTCAGCAAATCAGATACCGGAAGGAAGTCAGTGAAAGGCTATTAACTACTAGTGAATGTTTCACACAGAAAGGCGATAAGATTACGTACGTGTTATTGAATTTCCCGTAAAGAAGAGTAGAAAGGGGGAAATATTTTCAGCATACGAGCGAAAACGCATCGAGTTCGCTGAGAAAAAAAAATGGCCCTGAGGAACATGGCAAACGTACTGGTTCCCGTGCACACACACACACACACACACA